TAAGGGCTCCTGGACCCCCTTTACTTTATATAAGACCTCCAAATAATGCCTCCTCTCGGATATGGATACCTCTTCTGGTTACTCCTCCAACCGAATCCCCCAAGGAAAATCAGGAAGAAGAAAAAACCATAGTGTAATACCGTAGTGGTTTCTCATCAAAAGAATCTCTCCAGACCACTCACATTTTAGCAGGATATTACCCGCATTTTATTGAAACAACAACGATCTTTTCTTAAAAACGATCCATTTTCCATGTACAGCGACTTTTGCATAAAGACCCCACAGCCTAGTATACAGCAGGATGGCAGACCTCAGATGCAGACTCATCCACTATGCAAAGATGGCCCCTTGGAACGCACCGCTCGGCGTGCGTTCCACTCACCGGAAATTACGTCAGACGCCGGAACAGGCAACCGGAAGTGCGTCAACGCGTTTCGCCCCACCCACAGGGCGTTATCAAGACTTGATAACGCCCTGTGGGTGGGGCGAAACGCGTTATCAAGACTTGATAACGCCCTGTGGGTGGGGCGAAACGCGTTGACGCACTTCCGGTTGCCTGTTCCGGCGTCTGACGTCATTTCCGGTGATTGGAACGCACGCCGAGCGGTGCGTTCCAAGGGGCCATCTTTACATAGTGGATGAGTCTGCATCTGAGGTCTGCCATCCTGCTGTATACTAGGCTGTGGGGTCTTTATGCAAAAGTCGCTGTACATGGAAAATGGATCGTTTTTAAGAAAAGATCGTTGTTGTTTCAATAAAATGCGGGTTATATCCTGCTAAAATGTGAGTGGTCTGGAGAGATTCTTTTGATGAGAAACCACTACGGTGTTACACTATGGTTTTTTCTTCTTCCTGATTTTCCTTGGGGGATTCGGTGAGAGGAGTAACCAGAAGAGGTATCCATATCCGAGAGGAGGCATTATTTGGAGGTCTTATATAAAGTAAAGTGGGTCCAGGAGCCCTTAATATCCCTGAAAGGCGTGTGACTCACTATTATCTGGTGAGTGCGATTAATGTTGGTTTTTGCACTGGTGGATGGTGAAGGGATCAAAGGCACGGAAGAATCCAATGAAAATTACAATATAATTACAATTTAATTAATTTTGTCACGGGACTGTTACTTTGGGATTTTTTTGTCACTGGACTTATTAATTTAAAAAAATTATTTATTTATGTATTTATTTATTTTATATATATTTTTTATTATTTCATTAGCACAAAAGTGGTTTTGTGTCAAAGTTTTTTTAAGTTTGTTATTTATTAAGTATCAATTTAATAGGTTGGGTGATGCAATTTATTATGTGGGTTTGCGCTGGTATTTAGTGATATAAATACAGAAAAATACTTATTGATTTTCCAGAAAATCACTCAGCTCCTGAATCCTGCTGTTGGCTGACAGCACACGGCATTTTTGTGGACTGAGTGGTGTCAGCCCTGTCCAGTGTGTTTTGGTAACTATTCAGCCACTTAGATCTCTACAATATAAACGCAAATGTTTCTGTAGTCCAGCATAAAGCACTAGGAGGGCTCTTTGAGATAACATGGAATGTGTGCAGAAGATACAGGACAGCTCTGAAGTTTCTGAACCATTTTTTTTTTTTGCATTTATCAGGCATGTATAACAAAACACTTCCAATGCTATATTAAACAAGACAAAAGAGAAGTTTGTCATTAGGGCATACATACAGTTTGAATAACATTACTGCCCCCTGCCAGGCCCATTCACTTAACATTACTTCCCCAACAGGTCCACTCACCCAACATTGGCTCTCTCATCTGATAGACCCCCTCACAAACATTGCTCCCCCCCACCAGGCTTCCTTTGCTACTACTTACTAATATTGCACCCCCACCACCACGCCCACTCACCCAACATTACCTCTCCCCTTCATTTGACCCTCACCCAACATTGCTTCTCCCACTTACCAACATTGTTCCCCCACTAGGCTTCCTTTGCTACACCCACTTACTAACATTGTACCCCCCCCCCCCACCACCACCACACCCACTCACCCAACATTACCTCTCCCCTTCATTTGACCCTCACCAACATCGCTTCTCCTCCCACTTACCAACATTGTTCCCCACACCAGGCTCACACGCTCAATATTACATCTCCCCTTTACTAGGCCCTTGCCAAATATTGTATCTTCCCTCTGCTAGGTCCACTCAACCAACATTTTCTCTCCTCTCCTCTAGACCCACTCACCCAATATTGTTCTCCCCTCTTCTAGACCCACTCACCCAACATTGCCTCTCCCTTCTTCTAGACCCACTCAGCCAACATTTCCTCTCCCCTCCTCTAGACCCACTCACCCAACATTGCCTCTCTCCTCTTCTGGACCAACTCACCCACCATTGCCTCTCCCCTCCTCTAGACCCACTCACCCAACATTGCCTCTCCCTTCTTCTATGCCCACTCAGCCAACATTGCATCTCCCCTCCTCTAGACCCACTCACCCAACATTGCCTCTCCCCTCTGCTAGACCCACTCACCCAACATTGCCTCTCCCCTCTGCTAGACCCACTCACCCAATAGTGCCTCTCTCCTCTCCTAGACCCACTCACCCAACATTGCCTCTCCCTTCTTCTATGCCCACTCAGCCAACATTGCATCTCCCCTCCTCTAGACCCACTCACCCAACATTGCCTCTCTCCTCTCCTAGACCCACTCACCCAACAGTGCCTCTCTCCTCTCCTAGACCCACTCACCCAACAGTGCCTCTCCTCTCTGCTAGACCCACTCACTCAACAGTGCCTCTCCCCTCTGCTAGACCCACTCACCCAACAGTGCCTCTCCTCTCCACTAGACCCACTCGCTGATATTACTTTGTACATACTGCTCACTCACCCAATACTGCCTCTTCCCTTTGCTATTCCCTTACCAAACATTGTTCCTCCCCTCTGCTCGGACCACTCATCCAACATTGTCTCTTCCTACTGCTAGGTTTCACTTACACAACCTTCTCTCCCTTCCACTAGGCCCACTCACCCACCATTGTGTCTTTCCTTTGCTAGGCCCTCTCCTAACATTGTCTCCCCCCTCCACTAGGTCCATTCACCCAAGATTACATCTCTCCTTTTTAAGGTCCTCTCACTCAGCATTGCCTCCCCCCTCTGTTAGGTCCACTCACTAAAATTGCTGCCCCTTGACAGGCCCACACCTTACTGGTATGGCAGCTAAAATATTGACTAGAGCTTCATTGGCCCTAATAATGTGAATACAACCAGCACAGTGCAGTTTGCAGAAAGGTAGGCACAAATTTAAAATGACATACAGTATTAGAATTGGCTTGAAAGTAATTTCTGACTCATTACTTCTGTTAATCTCATGTGCTAGCCATTGTTATATATGTGCTTTTGTAAATGCTCTTTCTAGTGGACCCTTGTGTTTACATATATGACTTGTGGTTGTCTGTATATTGGACCGTATGGTTAGCATCCATGCCTAATGACTACTGAGATAAACTTCATCAATTTTAGAGAATGTCTTTATTAGAGGTGAGCTTGGGTGTCTTCTGAACTCGTCCCTATCTCTCTTCTTTTTTTTTAACTCCAATGAGTTGCAGGCCAGATCATTCCCACCCCACAACCTGCTTCTTTGTTTACGTAAGCTATGGGATAGGAATGACCCAGTCTGTAGCTCACTGGAGTCAAAAAAGTGTGCAAATTCGCAGTTTGGCTAGGGAAGAGTTAAGGAGATGCCCACGCTCATCTCTTCTTTATCTACTGTTCGAAGTCCTGCGTAATCTGAGTTAATCTAGATGGAGTTTATGCAGAGCAGAATACCCTCTTCCAACCCCTCAGTGACCACTCTCGATCAATGCCTAAGTACCAACACCATCCTAGGAGAGAAAAAGGATTGAATCACATTTCCCACCCTTCAGTGACCACTCTTGGCCAATGCCTAAGTACCAACGCCATCCTAGGAGAGGAAAAGGATTGAATCACATTTCCCACCCTTCAGTGACCACTCTTGGCCAATGCCTAAGTACCAACACCATCCTAGGAGAGGAAAAGGATTGAATCACATATCCCACCCTTCAGTGACCACTCTTGACCAATGCCTAAGTACCAACACCATCCTAGGAGAGAAAAAGGATTTAATCACATTTCCCACCCCTTCAGTGACCACTCTTGGCCAATGCCTAAGTACCAACACCATCCTAGGAGAGGAAAAGGATTGAATCACATTTCCCACCCTTCAGTGACCACTCTTGGCCAATGCCTAAGTACCAACACCATCCTAGGAGAGGAAAAGGATTGAATCACATTTCCCACCCTTCAGTGACCACTCTTGGCCAATGCCTAAGTTCCTAACGCCATCCTAGGAGAGGAAAAGGATTGCATCACATTTCCCACCCTTCAGTGACAACTCCTGGCCAATGCCTAAGTACCTAACGCCATCCTAGGAGAGGAAAAGGATTGAATCACATTTCCCACCCTTCAGTGACCACTCTTGGCCAATGCCTAGGTACCTAACGCCATCCTAGGAGAGGAAAAGGATTGAATCACATTTCCCACCCTTCAGTGACCACTCTTGGCCAATGCCTAGGTACCTAACGCCATCCTAGGAGAGGAAAAGGATTGAATCACATATCCCACCCTTCAGTGACCACTGTTGGCCAATGCCTAAGTACCAACACCATCCTAGGAGAGGAAAAGGATTGAATCACATTTCCCACCCTTCAGTGACCACTCTTGGCCAATGCCTAAGTATTTAATGCATCTTAGGAGAGGAAAAGAATTGAATCCCACATACTTTGAAGTACAGGGTGTTGTCTTCACTCCTGGTGAGTGGACAGTGAAGCGGGGGAGTGAAGGAAACATATGTGCTGCTGGTAGAGGGGTTACTAAGGTGAACCATGTCTGTGCCCTGTATAGCCAAAGCACAGGTTAGCTGTGTGCATGGGTGTTTAATGTGAACTGCATTGGGTTCATTGATGCTTACATAATGTGCTTACAGAACTCTAACCACGTTGTGCTCTTGTCTTCTGCAGGTTTGGCCATTGGGGACGTTCCTGATAAACAGCCTATCGGCATCGTTCTCACAGTGCTGGGTGTTGTGGTGTTAGACTTTTGTGCCGATGCCACCGAAGGGCCAATCCGTGCGTATCTGCTGGATGTGGCAGACAACGAAGAGCAGGACATGGCACTTAATATTCATGCCTTCTCAGCTGGTACGTACCTCACTCGTTATAGGCTTCTTGGCTAAGGTATTGGACAGGAGAAGTTTTATATAGAGAGATCATGTAAAACATTGCATTTTGACTGTGTGCGTGGAGGTTTTTCCCATTAGTTAAAGTGCAACTCCAGTAAAAACATTTTGTCGGGGTAAAAGCAAAGTGTCTGGTGTCACAGACACCTGTGGGAAGGTTGTGTAGTGATGCGATGGACTTTAAGGGAAGAAGGTCCCAAGCAATCATGTCATGATGAAGTGTTTAGTGATAACACCAATGACTTGTTTCCTGGCAACTTGTGAGATAGAAGGTGTGATACAAAGATTAACTGGATGATAGCTAATGGATGTATACAGCCATCGATTCCAAAGACATGCTGGTAGGAAAAGCATCTCCTCTCTAAATCAGCCTAGTATGTGTATGGAATTGAGGAAGAAACCGATGTACCCGGAGGAAACGCAAGCAAGCGCAGGGAGAACCAAGGACCCTAGTGCTGTATGTTGGGTAGGATTAGTCAGTGGTGGGCGGGACTGTGTGACATCACCAGGGGCGGACTGACAACTCATAGGGCTCCCGGGCAATAGGGGATCATGGGGCCCCTGTGTCCTCACCCACATTCAAACCACACCCAAAAAAGCCTATGAAAGCTACCAGGGACATCTCATGGGGCCCCCTACTGACCCCGGGCCCTTGGGCAGTGCCCGAGTACCGGAATGAGGAAAAAAACGACATACCCGGAGGAAACTCATGCAAGCACAGGGAGAACCAAGGAGCCTGGTGCCGTATGTTGGGTAGGATTAGTCAGTGGTGGGCGGGACTGTGTGACATCACCAGGGGAGGACTGACAACTCATAGGGCCCCCTGGCAATAGGGGATCATGGGGCCCCTGTGTCTTCGCCCACATTCAAACCACACCCGAAAAAGCCTATGAAAGCTACCAGGGACATCTCATGGGGCCCTCTACTGACCCCGGGCCCTTGGGCAGTGCCCGAGTACCCGAATGGTCAGTCCACCCCTGTATGTGAGATCGGTACCTTAGATTGTACGCTCCTTAAAGACCGGGACCAATGTGATTGTACAATATGTAGAAGGTAAGCATGGGAAAGATTTGGGGCATGATATTAACCAATGCTGAGAGGTTACATAGCTTGTAGATCTGGAGCCACCGGAGTCAAATTCTACAACCGTCTATGGTGACAGGTTCTCTTGAAAGAAGCTAGGGTCATACAAGTAGCTTTGGGCTCTGAACATGCAGATTCAGAATTCGATCAGCAGCCGGTCTGGCGTTCTCGCGGCACTGTCATTTCCTCTTGGCAGATGCAACTGTTTATATGTAACGTCTGCGGCACTTCTTGTCGTGTTTTCTTGGCAGCACATTTTTGCAGGCTTGCTCTATAATTGATCAGATGCACCTGCTGCATCGTCTCTTCCCTTCCCTGTACCAGCCTGGTGTCTGCACCCCTGTCCTCCATCTACGGGGTGCAGATATTCCCCCTTGTCTGGGGAAAAATACAGCGCAGGTATACTAATCCGCCTTGTTGAGTGGCATCAATAAAGCCGAACTCCAAACACACCTAAACTATGCAAGTGAATGCAGCTCTGTGATTATTAAAGTGTTACTAAACCCACAACAGTACAATCAGTCTGTAGATGCAGTAAAGCATGCTTGTTATACTCACTGTGGAACCTAAGGGGTTAATCCTCTGCATTGTGTAAACAGGCTGTTTGATCCTGTCTTCTCTGATCCTCCGCTTCTACTTTCCTCAATCCATCTTAGAACAGAGCCTTGGGGGCAAGCTGCACATGCTGAGTTTGGTGTATATGGATAGAGTTTTTTGGGTTTTTTTTTCCTTGGGAGGGGGCATGTGATCAGCCCAGAGCCAATCAGCACAGAGGTCAGGGGTTCTGCAAATGAATGCAGACAGAGGTCAGGGGTTCTGCATCCTTCTAGAGCAGAATGAAAACTCCTCCTGCTAGAGGTCACAAGACTGCTATATACTGCTGATGAGAAAAGGTATTTAGCAGTTTATATTTACTAAAATAATTGCATTTCCATGTTTTGTGTACTGTGGGAGACTAGATATAGTGAATGCAGGGTCCAGGGAGAGCAGATATAGTGAATGCAGGGTCTAGGGAGAGCAGATATAATGAATGCAGGGTCCGGGGAGAGCAGATATAGTGAATGCAGAGTCCGGGGAGAGCAGATATAGTGAATGCAGGGTCTGGGGAGACCAGATATAGTAAATGCAGGGTCCAGGGAGAGCGGATATAGTGAATGCAGGGTTCGGGGGAAAGAAGATATAGTGAATGCAGGGTCCAGGGAGAGCAGATATAGTGAGTGCAGGGTCCGGGGAGAGCGGATATAGTGAGTGCAGGGTCCGGGGAGACCGGATATAGTGAATGCAGGGTCCGGGGAGAGCAGATATAGTGAATGCAGGGTCCCGGAAGAGCGGATATAGTGAGTGCAGGGTCCGGGGAGAGCGGATATAGTGAATGCAGGATCCGGGGAGAGCAGATATAGTGAATGCAGGGTCCGGGGAGAGCGGATATAGTGAATGCAGGATCCGGGGAGAGCAGATATAGTGAATGCAGGGTCCCGGAAGAGCGGATATAGTGAATGCAGGGTCCGGGGAGAGCGGATATAGTGAATGCAGGGTCCGGGGAGAGCGGATATAGTGAATGCAGGGTCCGGGGAGAGCGGATATTGTGAATGCAGGGTCCGGGGAGAGCGGATAATTTGAATGCAGGGTCCCGGAAGAGCAGATATAGTGAATGCAGGGTTCGGGAAGAGCGGATATAGTGAATGCAGGGTCTGGGGAGAGCGGATATAGTGAATGCAGGGTCCGGGGAGAGCAGATATAGTGAATGCGGGGTCGGGGGGAGAGCGGATATAGTGAATGTGGGGTCCGGGGAGAGCGGATATAGTGAATGTGGAGTCTGGGGAGAGCAGATATAGTGAATGTGGGGTCCGGGGAGAGCAGATATAGTGAATGCGGGGTCTGGGGAGAGCGGATATAGTGAATGCTGCAGGGTCTGGGGAGAGCGGATATAGTGAATGCGGGGTCTGGGGAGAGCGGATATAGTGAATGCGGGGTCTGGGGAGAGCAGATATAGTGAATGCGGGGTCTGGGGAGAGCGGATATAGTGAATGCGGGGTCTGGGGAGAGCAGATATAGTGAATGCGGGGTCTGGGGAGAGCGGATATAGTGAATGCGGGGTCTGGGGAGAGCGGATATAGTGAATGCGGGGTCTGGGGAGAGCGGATATAGTTGGAGGTTTAATAACACTTAATGACACATTCATGAAACCAGAGCTGCATTCGTTTCTGTGGGTTTATTCCCCTGATGTCCAGCTTTAAAGGGGGGGGGGGGTTATATATACACAGCAGGTATAGAAAAGAATCACCCCATTTTTAAAATCACATTTTGTTGCTTTGCAGCGTGCAATGAAGACAGACACTGTTTTTTTTTTATCCAGCTGTCCTGGGTTTAGTAACACTTTAATAAATCATTAAATGTATTTTTAAATGCAAGCAGTTTAAAGTGGTTGTAAAAGCTCAAGGTTTTTTCACCTTCATTCATTCTCTGTGCAGCATCCCCCCTAATACTCAGCTTAGCCCCCTCTTGATCCAGCGATGTGCACTAGAGTCTCGGCTATCCCGGGACTCCCTCTCCTCATTGGCTCCCGCTGTTGTCAATCACAGCATGTAAGCTAATGAGAAGATAGAGGAGGTTGGGACCTAGCTGCGGCTCTATGTGTGAATGGACACACGGAGCGGCGGGGTGCCCCCATAGCAAGCTGCTTGCTGTGGGGACACCCAACAGGAGGGAGGGGCCAGGAGACCCTTCAAGGGACCCGAGAAGAAGAGGATCCGGGCTGCTCAGTGCAAAACCACTGCACACAGCAGGTAAGTATAGACATGTTTGTTATTTTTAGAAAAAAAAATGTGAGCCTTGAGAATCGCTTTAACCTCTTCAAGCCGGCCGCACATAAATGTGCGGCCTCCCGGCATCTGGGCCTAGACACTGAGCGGCCGCACATTTGCGTGCAATTAACAAAAAACATATGTGCTGGAAGCGTGCACCCTGCGCGCTCCCAGCACACATGTCCAGTACTCAACGGAAGGGTCCCGGTCTGCTCATTCGATCGGGACCTTTCCCGATCATGTGACCGCCGTGATGACGCGTCACGGCGGTCACATGGTCCCTAAACCCCGTCCCGCCTCCCGGCTTCTGAAACTCTTAAAGGGCCGGGAGACGCCGGCGGGAAGGGGTTAAGTACTTACTTTTTGACCTGGTATCAGCCCCTGTACAGCAAGGCTGGAGTGTAAGAGGGAGAAGTGGCACAAAGAGCTAGTCTATGTGCTAACAAGGCGCATATTGACAGGAGGAGAGAGCAGAGTGACATGGAGATGCACACATCACTGTGCCACTTCCTGTTTAACTGTTCATTTACAGGCTGGGGTGAGTCCAGGATGGGCTCAGAAAAAATGGGTTAAAAGTCATAAGGCTGGGGGGCATCTAGTGGCAGAACAGAAGTACTGCAAGGGGAAGCTCTTGATTTAAGGTGAATATTGCAACTAAAGGTGTTTTTTTTTATTTTATCTTTTAATGGGCTGTTGATTTTATCATGTTAATTTTGTCTGGAGTTCTGCTTTAAGGACTCGGGCACATGGTTCTCTTTAAACTATCGCTCTCCTGCAGATGGCAGAGAGGGGGGACCGTAGGCAGAAATTGTGTCACAGAGAATAGCAGATCTTTATGCAGTTATGCACTGAGTCCCCCAACATGTGACCCATTCATCCCTGGTTTGGGGGGGGGGGGGTAAAAACAAAAACCCTGGATGGAGGAAAAGCTACAAAAACTGCCCTGTGTATGTTTTCTATATTGTATTGTATGCACAGTATACATTTTACATATGAAGGCACAAGGATTGGAGCTGACATCTGTGTGCACACTTCTGAATTATTAATGGATGATACCATTTATCGATGTATTATGCCTGTGAATGTTTGAAGTGCAATTCCCATCATAACTGGCCATTCATCAGTGCGGTTTATAACTTGTTCTTCGGCTGCAAGTTAATGAGCAACATTTTCAGCAATGCAAAAAAATGCCTGGTTTGCAGTCTGTGAGTTCCATAATTTATATTTTATGACCATAAAATGCTTAGCAAAAGCCGCTCTGTGCAGCGTGGAAACCTAGTCGTGAAAAAATTAAAAAAAAAAAAAAAGTAAAAAGTTAATTTTTGAATAAAGTGGAAGAAGGGGCTAGACCAGCCAGGGGTCTGGAAAATTGTTCACATTAAAGGGGAGATTTACTAAGGCTAGGTTCACACCTATGCAGTTTGCATTTGATCTGTTTCTGCAGTGCTTTTTGCGGTGCGTTTTGCGTTTTTGCCGCGTTCCATAGACTTAAGAATAGCTGCAACGTCATACCTCACATCACCCCAATGTCTGCAGCTTCATACCACAGATCACCCCAATTCCTGTACTTTCATATCTCAGATCACTCCCAATATCTACACCTTCACACCTTAGATCACCACTCCTGCACCTTCACACCTGAGATCGCCCCAATTCCTGCACCTTGACACCTCTAAGCAACTGAGTTCCTACACCTTCACACCTTAGATCACCACTCCTGCACCTTCATACCTCAGTTCACCACCGATATCTACACCTTCACACCTCAGGTCACCACCAATATTTACACCTTCACACCTCAGGTCACCACCAATATCTACACCTTCACACCTCAGGTCACCACCAATATCTACACCTTCACACCTCAGGTCACCACCAATATCTACACCTTCACACCTCAGGTCACCACCAATATCTACACCTTCACACCTCAGGTCACCACCAATATCTACACCTTCACACCTCAGGTCACCACCGATATCTACGCCTTCACACCTCAGGTCACCACCGATATCTACGCCTTCACACCTGAGATCGCCCCAATTCCTGCACCTTGACACCTCTAAGCAACTGAGTTCCTACACCTTCACACCTTAGATCACCACTCCTGCACCTTCATACCTCAGTTCACCACCGATATCTACACCTTCACACCTCAGGTCACCACCAATATTTACACCTTCACACCTCAGGTCACCACCAATATCTACACCTTCACACCTCAGGTCACCACCAATATCTACACCTTCACACCTCAGGTCACCACCAATATCTACACCTTCACACCTCAGGTCACCACCGATATCTACACCTTCACACCTCAGGTCACCACTGATATCTACACCTTCACACCTCAGGTCACCACAGATATCTACACCTTCACACCTCAGGTCACCACCGATATCTACACCTTCACACCTGAGTTCACCACCGATATCTACACCTTCACACCTTAGATCGCCCCAATTCATGCACCTTCACACCTCTAAGCAACTGAGTTCCTGCACCTTCACACCTCAGTTCACCACCAATATCTACCCCTTCACACCTCAGGTCACCACCAATATCTACACCTTCACACCTCAGGTCACCACCAATATCTACACCTTCACACCTCAGGTCACCACCAATATGTACACCTTCACACCTCAGGTCACCACCAATATCTACACCTTCACATCTCCAAATCACCCCAATTCCTGCACCTTCACACCTCCGAACAACTGAATTCCTTCACCTTCACACCTCACGTCACCACTGATATCTGCACCTTCACACCTCCAGATCAACCTAATTCCTGCACTTTCATATCTCAGATCACCCCCGATATCTACACCTTCACACCTCAGATCACCCCAATTCCTGCACCTTCACACCTCAGATCACCCCAATTCCTGCACCTTCACACCTCTAAGCAACTAAGTTCCTGCACCTTCACACCTCAAGGTCATCACCGATATCTACACCTTCACACCTCCAGATCACCCCAATACCTGCACCTTCACACCTCCAACCAACTGAATTCCTGCACCTTCACACCTCAAGTCACCCCAATGACTACACCTTCACACCACAGATCACCCCAGTTCTTGCACCTTCACACCTCAGATCACCCCAATTGCTGCACCTTCACACCTCAGATCAATCAGTTGATGCATCTTCAGACATCAGATCAGCCCTAATCCCAGTATTTCACCCCTCCACCAATTCTTGCACCTTCAGAGCTCAAATCAGTGCCAATTCCTGCATTTTCACACCATAGATTACCCCAGTTTCTGCACCCTCACACCTCCAATCACTCCAATTCCTGCACCTTTCCACCTCTGATCAACTGAATTCCTGTATCTTCATACCTCAGTTCACCCCAATTCTTGCACTTCCATATCTCAGATCAGCCCCATATCTACACCTTCACACCTCACCTCACCACTCCTGCACCTTCACATCTCAGATCGCCCCAATTCCTGCACTTTCACACCTCCAAACAACTGAATTCCTGCACCTTCACACCTCAGGTCACCCCCGATGACTACACCTTCACACCTCAGATCACCCCCAATTCTTGCACCTTCACTCCTCAGATCACCCCAATTCTTGCCCCTTCACCCCTCAGATCACCCAAATTCCTGCACCATCACACCTCCAATCACTCCAATTCCCTGTACCTTCATACCGTCCATCAACTGAACTCCTGCACCTTTACACCTCAGATCACCCCAATTGCTGCACCTTCACACCTCAGATCAACCAGTTGATGCATCTTCAGACATCAGATCAGCTCTAATCCCAGTACTTCACCCCTCCACCAATTCTTGCACCTTCAGAGCTCAAATTGATGCCAATTCCTACATTTTCACATCATAGATTACCCCAGTTTCTGCACCCCCGCACCTCCAATTCCTGCACCTTCCCACCTCTGATCAACTGAATTACTGTACCTTCATACCTCAGTTCACCCCAATTCTTGCGCCTTCATATATCAGATCACCTTAATTGCTGCACTTTCACGCCTTAGATCACCCCAATTGCTGCACCTTCAAACATCAGATCACCCCCCAATCCCTGTACCTTCACCCCTCAGATCTGAACCAGTTAGACCTTAGATCAATACCAATTCCATCATTTTCACACCTCAAATCAACACCTACACACCTTAAACCAGCCCAATTTCTGCACTGTCTTCTTAGATTGGCCCCAATTCATGCACCTTCCTAAATGCAAGGGTTTTACGTTCATACTGGCTACAGCTTGTGGTTCCACTAAATAAAGAAAAAGGGTATGCGGGTGGGCTTCTTCAAGTAACAACAGCAGTAGGTGGGCCTATGCTGGTAGGTCAGTAATTTCAGGCAGGCTTCCTTACAACCTCATGGAGATTATTGGAACACAAGTGCAGGGGGATGGGTCAGGCTTTGTAATTGACAGCCTAGGGAGTTGTCAGCTACAGCCTATGGCAGTGCTTGTATTCGTAGGAAGCAAGGGCCCCACCAGTCTTTCTGCAGGCCAGTCCCAGCCTGTGAACATGGCACGTGACGAGCTTCTGGGTGCCACTGAAAATGACACAATGTACCTGCCCTTGCACATGTGCCTTAGGTTGCCCATCCCTGGGCTAGAACTTATGTTGGCTGTTTGCTGACTTATCCCCTTTAGGCAAGATTTCTCCATACTTCCTGCCAGGGTGGTCACCAAGACTGCAAGTGAAAAGAAATGTCTTCCAGCAGAGTCACATACAGCAATTAAATCCACTTTAAAATTAAAACATCTGCCGGGCTTTTTACTGTCTATATCCACATTAGTGACATTTTTTCACTACTTGTCCCCAGAGAAACAGGAAATGAAGATCTTCCCAAATGAAGGATTAACCTTCCTGTCAGGTAAACAGGTGTCCTACTGGAAGATATCCCCCCTGTTTACAATGATATTTGTAATCTTTTGGATCCCTCTTGCATTCCCTCTCTGACAATGGGTACCAGAGAATGTAACAAGGGTAGGTCTACCCAATGGGACACAGACCACAATAAAACTGACAAAAACTAACCCCTATCCCAAATCTATAAAAAAAAAAAGTGTTGAGTGTATTGCTACTCTAATTTAGGAGCCATTAGTTTTGTAGTTTATTGTTTCGATTTTATTTTATTTTTTTTACTTTTAGGCCTTGGTGGAGCAATTGGCTATATGCTTGGTGGACTGGACTGGACTCAAACGTTCCTCGGAACACTGTTTAAATCTCAGCAGCAAGTCCTTTTCTTTTTCGCAGCCATTATATTCTCTGTATCCGTTGGCCTCCACCTTTTCAGTATTGAGGAAGAACAGTACAGCCCCCAACAGGACCGCCTAGAGGATGAAGCGGACACCATGTCAAGCGGAAAATTAAACAGCACGCTCGTCCCAATGTCTCGATTAAACGTTATTAATGAAGAGGAACCCTACTCAAGCTTTCCCGATGAAGTGCAGTCCGAGCATGAGCTCAACCTCGACTTCCTTGAGGTGGACATTGTAAGAAGTAAAAGTGATTCAGTTTTGCATATGGCTGACGCCACATTGGATTATGAATCCGAGTTTCTTCATTACATTGAACCCTCCATTTTCCAAGATTGTTCATACCCGAACACCCCGCGCAGCACCAGCCAGGAGCTTCTGAAGTCCAAATTTAACCGTCTTTCGGCATTCCTCAGGGAGAACGAGCGAGAGGAGGAGATGTTGCTTGATAATCACATTAATGAAGCCAAAGTTCCAAACGGCGGTGACGCACTACAGAAGGAGAACATGAACGGGCACACCAGAATCGGCATGAAACAGTCCTGCACCGCGAACTCCATGCGTCGGAGAAGGCACATGTTCTATCGTCAGCCTTCATACACCTTCTCGTATTATGGCAAGGTAGGATCCCACCGCTACCGCTTCAGGAGAGCCAACGCCATCTTGCTTATAAAATCCTCACGCAGCATGAATGACATTTACGACATGCAGAAGAGGCAGCGTCAGAGACAGAGGCACAGAAATCAGAGCGGAGCCACCAACTCCAGCGGTGATACCGAGAGTGAGGAAGGAGAGACTGAGACAACTGTCAGGCTGCTTTGGCTGTCCATGCTGAAGATGCCGAAAGAACTGATGCGTCTATGTGTTTGTCACTTGCTAACCTGGTTCTCTATTATTGCTGAAGCAGTGTTCTATACAGATTTCATGGGTCAGGTCATCTTTGAAGGCGATCCCAAGGTAAGTGCAATATGCTACAACTGTACTTTACCCCTTCATGACCTTCAGTTTATTGATGCCCAGTCCAAATTTAGTGCCGTCAGTTGATTTGGCCATTAATATATTAATAATTATATTCACTAATTTGCCCATCTTTATCATTTTTACATTTTTTTGAATATGTACTGTATAAGTCTTTTATTTGTTACAGTGTTTTACTAAATACGCTACTTCAATTTTTTTTTATTATAGGGTGACAAACAAAAATTCACAATGTTGTCCTCCTTTTTTTTTTTCTTTTTTTTTTTTAAGCAGAGTTCCAAAAAAAAAATTATAATTTACCCAGCAGTGACAAAAAAAAAAAAGTTTTTTTCATTGCAATACTTGCTTTTTCAGACTCTTCCAAGCAGAAAGTCCGCTTGATGGTGCTTCTTATATGGGTTGACTATCTTTCATTTGGAGATGGGTTTTATTTTTTTGTACATTTTTTATTTTTATTTTTTTAAACATGGTAGTCTCTTCTTTAGAAATGATATTCGCTTCCGCATGCCCAGCAAGTGCACACAGAAAAAAGTGTGACAGTGATCACAAGGTTTGTTAGCAAACAAATCTCTCCCGGCTTTAGCTAGTTGGCATAGTGGTCAAATGATTTGGAAACATGTTGGTTGAAACTGAAGCGATCAGAAAAAGCAGGGTTCAGCCAGGCATGGATAATGTATACCAGCCTTTCTCAACCAGGGTGCCTTGAGGTTTCTTCAGGGGTGCCTTGTCAAAATGTCTAAAAATTGCCCAAAACTTGTATACAAGCCAGCGGGTGGAACAAGCCTGCCTTTTAGTTAATAAATCACCTCTAATGTTGCGTGTCATACCAGTGTGGATGTTGCTGCATTATAAAAACTATTAGAATAGTTTCTCATATTTTAAAATGGGGTGCCCTTTTAAAATTTTGGACAGTCTTGAGGCACCCTATTTTAGAATGGGGTGCCTCAAGACTGTCCATAATTTTAAAGGGTGCCTCGGGACTACCCATAATTTTTAAAGGGTGCCTTGACTGAAAAAAGGTTGGGAAACACTGATGTATACTTACATTGTTACAAGCTGGACCAAGGTAACTATACAGTACTAACCATACCTGGAGTGGCTGCTTTCCAATCCACGGACAGCACATGACCAAGTGTCTTGGCTTTCAGTCACATGGCTATTCCAGGATGGCGCCTGTAGTGGCATTGGCATCTCGCAACATTTCAATACCTCTGTTGCTCTTTATTTTATATACCCCAGTAAAGTGGTTATCACCAAGTTTCAAGATAAAGGTCAAGTACACTAGTAGTTTTCTTATTGTTATTGGTTCCACTTCCATGCTTTGAGCATTTTTTTATAGCAGGGAATTTTTATTGGTGCCTTTTGATGCTTTCTTCAGGAATCTTTAGTGTATGGTCTAAGTGGCTCTGCCCTGTCTTTTTTCCACTATCCTACTACCTGGCCAGTGTACTCCTATGCAAATACGCAGCTTGGACTCCATCCACTTTGTTAGCCCACCGTACACTATTTAGCCAATTGATGAGCCTTCGGGTGAAAGTTTTGGATTCATGTGCATGATATCATTAATATCATTCTCCGTTTTGTTAATGCACTGACTTGACACTGATTGTTCTTCCTCTAGGCTCTCACCAACTCTACCGAACTCCATAACTACAACTCCGGTGTGCAGATGGGCTGCTGGGGGCTGGTGATATATGCTGCTACTGCCGCCGTCTGCTCAGGTAACTGGCTGTCAGGCTCTGTTCTACTCACGTCTCACAGCTTCTATTCTGAGAATGTGTATGTTATTTAATCCATCTGTGAGGCTTCAATTCAATACAAGCCCACATTGTACCATGTCTAGCTTTTGAAGTGTACCTGCCTGCGTCAGTGTTCACCTTATCAGTTTCCAGGGGCTCGTTGTGACATCAGAATTGAATTTACAAATAGTGTAAGCTCCTAGATCAGTGGTTCTCAACCTTCCTAATGCCGCGACCCTTTAATACAGTTCCTCATGTTGTGGTGACTCCTAACCATAAAATTATTTACCCAGTAATTATAATTCATGAGTGTCGTTTTACCTCCAATACTGCTGCTTTCAAACACAGTAGCTGCTTTTAACAGAGTAGCTGCTTTCAACACAGCAGCTGCTTTCTACACAGTAGCTGCTCTTTACACATCGGAAATATGTGTTTTCCGATGGTCTTAGGCGACCCCTGTGAAAGGGTCGTTTGACCCCCAAAGGGGTCACGGCCCACAGGTTGAGAACCACTGTCCTAGATTGACAATGTAGCAACCATACGGATATCATATGTGTTTTAAATAAAAATATACACTACTCGTTTATATTTTTATACAGGACTTCTATAGCGCTTTTCAATATAAATATATTGAATATAGTTGGACAGTACAGTGTCATTACAAAATGGTTAGGCATAGGGCTCTGCTCATAAGAGCCTACAATCTAAGGGGGTGTGCAGGGCAGGTTACATAGTTAGTCTGGCTGAAAAAAAGACACAAGTCCATCTAGTTCAACCAAAAGGGAAAAAAATATATAATCCTATACCCACAGTTGATCCAGAGAAAGGCACAAAACCCCAGCAAAGCACGATCCAATTTGCTTCAGCAGTGGAAAAAATTCCTTTCTGATTCCTCAAGAGGCAATCGGATATTTCCTGGATCAACTATACCTGTAAATATTAGTATCCAGTTATATTCTGTGGATCTAGGAAAGAATCCAGGACTTTATTAAAGCAATCCACTGAGCTGGCCAGAACCATCTCTTGAGGGAGACTATTCCACTTTTTCACAGCTCTTACGGTGAAGAAACCTTTCCGTATTTGGAGACTAAATCTCTTTACCTCCAGACGTAAAGAGTGTCCTCTGTGATGACCTCAGACTGAATACCTCTACACCAAGTTCACTATATTTTCTCACTTTAGAACCCGCAGCTTGGCATTGCATGCCATTATTAAGCTTGTGATCTACCAGACCCCCCAGATCCTTCTCTAACATTGACCCCCCAGTTGTACCCCCCCTAGTATGCATGATGCATCAAAAAATAACAGCTGTAAAGAACAAACTGAACACAGTCGGTAATTAAGATTACCCATGCAGAGTAGCATTGTGTACAAAACTTTATTCCTTATACAGGAGATATATATTAAAACATTACCTTGCAAGAGAAGACAAACATACACCAGTCATATAGGTGAATTAGGGCTCATGTAAACGGGGTGTTTGGGAAACTATTCTGAACGCTGGAAACTGACTACTAGAAAACGTAGGTGAAAAAAACGTCAGTTTATCCTCGTTTGCATATCGTGTTTATGCGCGTTTAGCCACATTTATGCACGTTTGCGTTTAGAAACGTTTTTAAAAGATAGGGGCGGACTGCAACTTATGGGGCCCCTGGGCAATAGGGGATCATGGGGCCCCTGTGTCCTCACCCATACCCAAAAATGCCTATGAAAAAGCCAATGAAAGGTACCAGGGGCATCTCATGGGGCCCTCTACTGAACCCGGGCCTTCAGGCAGTGCCCGAGTGCTCGAATGCTCAGTCCGCTCCTGCTCAGGAGATCTTCCCAAATGCCCAGAATGCACTGAAAACAGTAAATAATTAACTATTTCAGACATTTTGAGAGAAATAGAGAGAGCAGAAGCAGAGAGAGCAGTATGTGTTGAGATGACCTGTCTTTTCTGGTTGTACTCACTATGGATCCCATCATGAGTATATTGCGGCGCGTTCTACCATTGTTTCCTTCACACAAAACCTGGAACTGACTGCGCTGGTGTACCGGTCCATTTGAATACATGGAAAACGCTTTGCATGCATTTCTGATGATGAGAAAAGGCTCTGGACAGCATCTGGAATGGACCTGTCAAAAAACGCGTCTAAACGCAAACGCTTGTAAATGCGGTTAACCGCGTTTACAAGGGTTTGCCTTTTGAAACGCTGGTAAAATCTACTCCTGAATGCAATTTTGGTGCATTCAAGAAAATGACTGTAAACTCAACTGCCTGTAAACGACGATGTGTACATGGACACATAGGAAAACATTAGGGAGAGTTCAGGGGCTGCTGAAAAAAAACGCAGAACAGTTCCTGAACGTCAGTTTAGCAGCTGCAGTGTACATGAGCCCTTAAAAGAAAAGTCCGTACTAGGATGTATGCATAAGGTCATTAATGTGAATTGAAATGGTCCAGAGAACCCAATGTGTTTAGATACACATCATTGAGTTAGGCCTTAGTGCGTTATAGCACGATAATGAATCAATTGAGCAGAACAGTGATCAGCTGAAGATAAAGATGTCTTATGAAGCCATTTAGTAAATCTGGCAGCGTGGTAAAGGAAACACCTAGCTGGAATATGGCCATTTCTCACAAATTAGAAATGGAGTAGTTCTGATGGAAATACCAGCAACGCAACAAGCAGTCCAAGGTTGCAGGTCATGGAACTTCACATCATACTATTAATCCACAATAAGTCATCATTCCACTTATTATGTATACGGCATAAAAGGGTTATCCTGGAAATGTCCAACTGCTATGTTCCTGATATGAAGATATGGGCAATATTCAATCAGGGGAGGTTACCCATCTGAATCAATTGACTCTAGTACCAGAGAGTAGAGAGCAGGAGGTATTGGGAGGAGTGAATAGAGGACAGTTAGGGTGATCTATTGAGATGAGGTTGTTGATGTAGCTTGGGGCAGAGTTGTATAGAGTGCATTGAAGCAATAACATCAGTTTCTGCCCCCCAGTGAAGCTTTACCACAGTTATACACATAGCTTGGTTGAAACAAGACACAAGTCCATTGTGGTCAACACGTTTGTTTTGGATATTCTGCCACTTTAACTGGTTCCCACCCATTCACTAAGATTGCTTATAATCTTTAACATGTTAATGTCATTTTAAAAGTTATTTTCAGTTTTTCTAAATCTGCAACTTTCATTAAAATAATACTTGGTGACCCTGACAAGAGGATCCTTGCTCAAGCACTTTCTGTTATGGCGTGACAAAAGTTCTGTTTCTCATTGCTCTCCTGTGTTGTAGATCTGCTGTGCTTCTAGAGCTGGGGTCTTCAAACTGCGGCCCGAGGGCTGGATGTGGCCCTTTGCTAGCCGTTATCCGACCCTTTGGGCACTATTCCTCCCAATGATGTGAGGTAGTATTCCTCCCACTGACACCAACAATGGGACACTGTTTCTTACACTGATACCAATGATGGGGCATTATTCCTCCCACTGATACCAATGATGGGGCATTATTCCTCCCACTGATACCAATGATGGGGCTATTCCTCCCACTGATACCAATGATGGGGCATTATTCCTCCCACTGATACCAATGATGGGGCATTATTCCTCCCACTGATACCAATGATGGGGCATTATTCCTCCCACTGATACCAATGATGGGGCATTATTTCTCCACTGATACCAATGATGGGGCATTATTTCTCCCACTGATACCAATGATGGGGCATTATTTCTCCCACTGATACCAATGATGGGGCATTATTTCTCCCACTGATACCAATGATGGGTATTAATGGGAGGGATAGTGCCCCATCATTGGTATCCGTGTAAGAAACAGTTTCCCATTGTTGGTGTCAGCGGGAGGAATAGTACCTCATACCATTGGGAGGAATAGTGCCCCAAGGGCCGGATAAAGGCTAGCAAAGGGCCACACCCGGCCCTCGGGCCGCAGTTTGGAGGCCCCTGCTCTAGAAGCACAGCAGACCTACAACATGTTTATTTTCACTGATGCTAGGCCCAGGACATTCTCTACCCCCCACTGGTCACAATCCGGCCCTCCTAAAGTTTGAACGGCAGAAAACCTGCCCTTTGTTTGAAAAGTTTGGAGACCCCTGTTCTAGAGGAAGCATAATTGACCACCAGAATGCAAACGAAGAATCATCGCATTCAAATTGAATTGGAACAAGAATGAAAAACCATATTGTAGAAAGGGATTAGAATTCTCCACCAAACAGAATCATTTCAATTCCATCTCTTTTTTGTTGGTTAAAAACCACATATTTAATATCCTCAATTGCTTTGCAAGTTAAAAAAAAAAATAGAATTGAAAGTTAAATTGCTTGATCAAATTGCCACGTGTATAATCTGCGGTAATTTTTAAAATATCTAAAATACAAGTGGTCATTTCTGACCTCACTGCAAAGTCTAGCATTTCAATAGCCTTTCCAGTATGAAAGCCCCACATAATATCCACCGGTCCTTGGAGTCTCTGTCCAGTGTCCTTGGAAAGTAGTGGAATAATATTGACCACCATTCTTCCAGTGGCAATATAATCACACTTCTCCTGAGCTCCTGTGGTGCAGGTCACATGACTTTCCATGTCACAAGGTAGAGGTCATGCTATCATCCAGTTTACCTGCATGAACCTTGATATTTATTGTGAAGAACACCTGCTTCGGTCCAGTTCATAAATAGTTTTTTCATCATTGTAAGTCCTGAAGACGTTGGCCATCTATTCGATATTTCCAATGATCAATAAAGGCTTACTGGAACTGAAACAACCTTGTGGCGCTATCATCTTTCTACTTAATGCTGTTATTCGGAGGACTTCTCTAGACCCATCAACTTTTAGAGATCTGTCTCAAATAACTAAGACCACCTTCTCGTATTGTGATCCAGGGTTCTACCAATAATACTGTATCTGTAATTTTCTGAGAGGGGAATTACCCTGCTTTGTAGAAATTTCCCCTTGCCTCCTGTCATGTTTCAGGACAAGAAATGATATGAGACATCTAGGATTTCAGTAGCCATTCCAATATGGAAGTCCCACATGATACCAACAGCTCCTACGAGTGGCTCTCCAGCTTCCTTGGAAAGTAGTAATAATATTGACCACCCTTGATTTGAGTTTATGAGCTTGTGATGTTTTTCTTAATGTCTGGACAGGACACAAACAGCTAAAAGTGAACAACAAGGTGTTCTAACCATTCTCTACTGTATCCAAACAAAAAGAAAAAACGTTTTTGGCTATACATACACTTTAAGCACCAATTATACACACACCGCTGAATGAGTGCCCCCTGTCCCTAAGTGAACTCTTCTCTATACAGCTCCATGTAGGCTTTTGATAAGAGACAATATGAAAGCAACCGGCTGCTGATAAGAATTCCATTATCTCATTCTACTGTGATGGTCAGATTTGACAGGTGTGGCAAAACTTTAGAGAAAAGCTTAATCATTGTGTACTAGCAACAGGCACACATGAGAGGGGCAGTCCTAAACTGGCAGTACTCATTAACACTAGAGAACATTTGGAAAGTAACAGTGTATTTGTAAATTTGCACGCCCATCGAACCAGTTATTCCTGCCTTATCCGCACTACCTCATCGGCAATCCTTCCTCCATTGCAGCTTGTGACAGTAACCAGTGCCTCCGGGCATGGGGGAGCTTGTGATATAACCCAATGTGTGATTGAGGCTAGCAGCCAATTGCTAGGCCTGAGCACTGACTGGAAGATGAATGTTACTGCTCCATATAGTGAAGGGAGGAGCTAAGAGGGAGTAAATTTGTAAATTTGCATGCCCACCAAACCAGTTATTCCTGCCTTATCCGCACTACCTCATCGGCAATCCTTCCTCCATTGCAGCTTGTGACAGTAACCAGTGCCTCCAGGCATGGGGAAGCTTGTGATATAACCCAATGTGTGATTGAGGCTAGCAGCCAATTGCTAGGCCTGAGCACTGACTGGAAGATGAATGTTACTGCTCCATATAGTGAAGGGAGGAGCTAAGAGGAAGTAAATTTGAAAATTTGCACGCCCACCGAACCAGTTATTCCTGCCTTATCCGCATTACCTCATCGGCAATCCTTCCTCCATTGCAGCTTGTGACAGTAACCAGTGCCTCCGGGCATGGGGGAGCTTGTGATATAACCCAATGTGTGATTGAGGCTAGCAGCCAATTGCTAGGCCTGAGCACTGACTGGAAGATGAATGTTACTGCTCCATATAGTGAAGGGAGGAGCTAAGAGGGAGTGCTGGTAAAGTGAGTATAACTAGTGCAGGAGACCTTTAGAAAGACATTGTCACTTAGCCCTCCATTGACATAGTGACAGGGTGTCCTTGAACCAGTTTCAGATACATGTTCCAGTATGTGTACAAGCCACACAATACTGCCGTGGTGCCTCTGCAAGTATGATTCCTGACACTGTTTATCTGTGCTTTCTGCAGCCTTGTTACAGAAGTACCTGGATAACTATGACCTCAGCATCAAAATCATCTACATCCTAGGAACGCTTGGCTTCTCCATTGGCACAGCAGTGATGTTCATCTTTCCCAATGTCTACGTCTCTATGATCATGATCAGCACCATGGGAATAGTGTCAATGAGTATTTCATACTGCCCATATGCCCTGCTGGGACAGTACCACGAAATGAAAGAGGTAAGTGGCAAGTGGATGAAATATTCGCATTTACAAGACCAACACAAAGACCCGAACTCAAAAATACTTTTATTTTTTTTTCTCAGTTGGAGGTGTGTTTTAAATTACAGTAGGAATGTGTAAATAAGAACGCATGCAAATTTTTGGAGCAAAGCGATAGGATCTTCTGTTGATGTATTTTAGCATTGAGAGAATGCCGTACTGTTAAGACAATCCACTTCCAGTGTTGGTCATGTGATGTGGCAATCTCTCTGCTCCCTAGTCCAGGTTGTTCTGTATGAACTGTCAGATGAGGAAGTAAAACAAGGATTACCAAATATGACCATTCCTATTGCATTTGCTCAGGCAAAGCAGTGTAATGTAAGAGTGCATACAGGTCAAAGGTTGTTTAGACTTCTAGTAAAAGCAGTTAGCCGATTGCATAATCAAGGAATATAACTTATAATAAAACGTTAAATTACAAAATTTCCTTTTTGAAGGTGCGCCTAAAAAGGCTGGCAGAGGACAAAGGATTAGGCACGAGTATGGCCTGTAGTCCTTGCAACTGGTCTTTTTACCATTACTGACATACCATGCCTTCTTACATGCTGTGTAGAGGCAGCCATCTTGGTAGAGCTGCAGGTCTTTGCTTCCTCATGATATGGAGGAAAAATATTCACGAACTAGCAGGTGAAGTGTAAAAAGCACAGAAATGACTGGCAGAAGCAGGGAGATTCTTTCACTGCAGGTGTTAAGGTACCACATCCTCTCCAGCAAGCAGCGCAGTAATGAAATCACCAGAGCTCACTCCAAATCTATTGAGACTATCACAGGCAACATTGCCATCAATGATCTCACAGTGCAGATACTGTATACATTTATGAAGTTTAAGGCACATTAGTGCATAGGCACAGAAAGTGTAGTTATTTTCAAGAGGAATTCAAGACAAAAGTTACATTTTTCAACAGATTACTTAAGCACAGTTACAATTCCTAGATTTTCCTGAAAGCAGATCTTTACTTTTTGAGTTCAGATACACTTTAGAACTATAGATTCACTTTAAATTGCTTACCAGTTCTTCAATCTGTTTATCTGCAGTACATCCACCACAGCCCTGGGAACTCGAAGAGAGGCTTTGGCATAGACTGCGCCATCCTGTCCTGCCAAGTTTACATCTCCCAGATTTTGGTGGCCTCAGCTTTGGGAGCCGTGGTTGATGCTGTGGGTTCAGTCCGAGTAATTCCTCTGGTGGCCTCCATAGGCTCCTTCTTAGGATTTCTCACAGCTACATTCTTAGTGATATACCCTGAGGTTCCAGAAGAGAACAAGGAGGAGTCGAAACGTCCAGCAAATGGCGCCATCGCTAATGGGGTAGATCCAGAAAAACCACTTGTGTTGCAGCTCTCTCCGAAAGGGTCTACAGTTCCTCCAGAAGTGGAGAACGAGTCGGCAGTCTGAGCAGGTGATGTGTTCAACCCGCAACATTCCTACCCTCACAGACACATCTGTGGCGGCAATCTAATCAGGTGCACGTCTGGACTGGAAACCAATTGCAATACGATGCCTCGCTATTCTCCTTTCTTGCCAGGGGAGGGGCATTTCCAGTTTCTAAGTGAAGATAAAAAAAATAAAAGGAAATTAAATGGAAGCTCCTTTAATTTGCCCTTTCTAGAATCTTTCGATTAGATGATGCTTTTTCTGCATGATCCTTAAAACCTAATGCTATATGAAGTTTAGCCAACTACATCTAAGTTTGAAGTTTTTGTAATGACACTGCTATAAACCTTTTTTTTTTTTCTACTGTTTTACTTGTCAAAAGTATGCAGTTGTGTTAATGAAGCATTAAAGTGCAAATGCATACTGGAATGGCCATAGTTTGAGCTGGGCTAGTACTCCAGGGAAAGCATTTAGTTGGCTCAAAGCTGGCAATGCCAGGATGACCTTGGGAGTCTTATCTTCCAATCTACTGTTTGAATACAGCCTATAGTGCTGCTAGGAAGAGTTCTACAATATTGCTGATCCTTCCTGGCCCAGCCCAAAAAAAATGGCTTCCGCTTGCCAAGGTAACAGTTGCACTTTAAAAAGCCTTGCTGGGTGGTTCTCAAGCTTGGTTTTGCCAGACTTCTTGGCAACTCTTTTGAAGTGGTTAAGTAAAAATATAGTTTTCGTTTTTTGTTTTTACAAACTGTAGAGCACTGCTATAATTTATTTAATAGACAAGAATATTTTGGTTACATTCAACTCGAGTAAAGAGATCATTCATAAAAAAAAATAGTAAGTTAGACTTGTATCTGAGGACAGGTGGCAGTAGAACCATTAAAATTGGGCCAGAGGTTGGAAACCATCACCCTAGTCTAGTGTTCCCCAAACCGGGGGGGTCATGTACTACAGACAATAACACATCGTCTGTGTGGGTTGTAGGTTTATTTTTACAAGGCTATCCTATATGGGAAATTTTACTCATTATGGAGGTGGCCAACAGCAGACACTAAGAAGGTGTTGATGTAACCTCATGTTTACAAGGGTGCTTCTGAAGAGGGTAGTGTTCTGTTTGGACACTGACTCTTTAGGTGGTTGAAAAGGTAGAAGCTTTTAAATTGATGCTCCAAGGCAAAGTAAAATTGCTTATTTGAAATCCATGCTAGCCATCGTTCTATAATGGTACCATTTTGGTAATAATGGTGATCTGCCTCCTTGCATAAAGGTTCTCAGCCTTGTATATCTCATACACCTTTGTTTGCATTTGTGTCTTCTGCTGGTTCTTTTTATGTACAGTACAGGTCACAGCTACAAACACCCAATTTGACTCTCAGAACACATTAAATTGTGAAAATATGAAGTCTTATCCACGCTGCTTACCTGTGACATAGTGCTGTATATCATATCTTTACAATGCACCATTGGAGGTGGCAGCATGGAAAAAACCTAGACTATATAGCCAGATGTATGGATACACCACTAATAATGATTGGGTTCAGGTGTTTCTAGTGAAGTGTACTGTTAAGATCACAGCAAACAAACACATTTTAGATAATTGTGTTCTTTTAGCCTTTGTGGCAACAGTTTTGGGAAGGCACCTTTCTGTTCCAGCATGACTGTGCCCCTGTGTACAAAAGCAAGTTCCATAAATAAATGGTTTGATGAGTTTGGTATGGAGGAACTTGAGAGTCCTGATCTCAGCCAGGTCATGTTGGAAGACCTGGTCATAATCAACATTCTAATATCTTAAGGGTGTTCAGTAAGAACACCATTAAGATGATTGGATCGTTGATTATGACCAGGTCTTCCAACATTAGTAACTAATATCACAAATGCTTTTTGGTTGAATGGACATTCTAAACACTTGTGGAAAGCCTTCCCAGAGTTTCCATGATTTTGGAAATCTAATATCCAACAAGCTCATAGAGGTGTAATAGTCTGGTGTCCTCAACTGATTGGCTATATAGTGCAATAATGAAAAATTGGAAAGATGGTGACTGTGGTACATGACCAACCAAACTATGGGAAACCCTGGCCTAATCAATCTAGTTGCAACCTATCCTAACAGTCTATATGAGTAGTTCTTTTTCATTCTAGCTCTGTGACACCAAGCTAAAAGGCCTATATAGAGGACTTTTCTTTATTATTTCTTCATGGAATTCTTCATTTCGAATGTAAAAATACTTTGGTTTTGTTTAAATGCCCAACGGATCCGTCCGATGGCAGGTTAATGTAAGATTATATTAGAAGTTTTTCCTTAGTCCATCTGAAATCTGGATTTTCTTTCACTTGACATCAGGGGTCCTAAGCAATATTGCCCTCTTGTTTCTCTGAAAAAAAAAAATCATTCGGGAGCAGCTTGAGAAATAAATATGGGGGCTATTTTTTTATATTGCAGAGAAAAAAAATCTGCTTTCTTTTAAAGCAACTGCTGTAGACTTTTGTCTTTCTTTTTTTTTCTTGCAGCCAGTTTCTAATTCGTATATTGGTTGTCAAGATAATGCTGTACAGATAGGCTTTTATTTGACAACAAATTTTGGTAGGTGGTCACTGTTGTAATGCTTGCCTAAGAAACTAATTTGCACGGCTATAGAAGCAGTGTTACTGTTGACACACTCGTATTTATGCATCTTCGGGGCTTGCGTTGAGATCTTTTACTGCTATGATGTCACTGGTGGATTGGTCCAGAGACTTTCTTGTTTTACCACCACCAGCCAGTGAGAATCTACTTTCTTATCTTTACAACTTGCATACAGAGAGACGCTTGTAGGCCCTTTTAATAAGGCAGCGTAAAGAGTAGCTTTGATGACCCACTTCAACCAGCCGGCTTTTCGTCTACTCAGGTCAGGTTGGTTAAACTTTCTACTTAGTTGCTGTGGATAGTATTTTGCACATCCATAAAAAGCACCCGTCATGAAAGAAATTTGTAAGCTACCATTGTGACCACTTCTGAAAATGCTACTTGACTGGCTGTCACATTAACATTGTTGCTTCATTATTTTGTGTCTGACATAGAACAAGTATACAGATGAGAACCTCTGAAGATGAGGTCAGTCTTGAAGTCTGTGGGTCAACATGAGAGCAAGCCAACAAGCATTGTTAGTAGTGTGATTTCGTATCCATCCATTAGAACTTCTGAGAGGACCTTTAACATTTTTCAAGAGTCAAGCTAGGTCTATAGAGAGGAGCAGTAAACCACAAATACTGTGCACCACTACTAATAGGAATCAGGCCTACATATGCAATAGGCCTGCTCTAGTATGGTTTTAGGAACCATACATTATAAAAGGGGTTTTAAAACAGTAACACTAATTGATAAGATTATTAGGGTCTGTGTTGACTGGCCCTAATAATCTGCAAACACATCAGTTTGAGATCATTTAGAATGCATTGACAGGTACTTTTTACCTACAGTTGACCTGCTCCTCCTTTGCATTTGACTTACCTCAGATGCTTTTGCATTCTCATAGACGTATATAGGGAGAAAAGCATCTCTAATGTGAACCAAAGCCCATTGACGCAGGCTCTTAGGCTGATATCCTTCACTCGAAACACTGTAACACAAAATAATTTCCCTTTAAATGAAGCCCGTCATGAGACCAAATACCCATATGAGAAGCCTCATATGGGAGTTTTTATTCTGTGATGCCCTGGTGAAGTTGCATTGAATCTGCTCAGCTGGACTCTAAGCAATATCAATATTCATGTGTAAGTGCTCAGGGTTCCGTATAGCCCTACGGTTCCTCCAGAGTATGCTAGGGGTTCCTTGAAAGATGAGCATTTTCTGCCCCTCAGATAAATTGCCACTGACACTGAATTTTTAAACTATGGAGATCTTTCTCCCAATAGTCACAATTATAAAGAGACCCTTTTCCCAATTACCACCAATAAAAAGAGACCCTTCTCCCAATGGCCATCAGAGTAAGGAGGCCCTTCTCTCAGCGACCACCAAAGTAAGAAGGCCCTTGTTCCAATGACCAGCAACATAAGGAGACCCTTCTCCCAATGACCACCAATGAAAGGGGATCCTTCTCCCATTACCCAACACTCTAAGGGAGCTCTTCGCTGACCACCAATTAAAGTAGGGATTTCATTGGCCATACTGTAAACGTAAGGGGCACTTTTCCACAGACCATCCATGTGAATGGACACTACTATTTTCAATGTCTGCATATCTCTTTTGGACTTTTATAAGTATTTGTTTAATTTTATTGTTATTATTGAAAATAATTTAGATACATATATCAGCTCTAGTATTCAAATGCATAAAATACGCCACATTCCTTACCCTTTTATTTATTTTTACATTGCACCTTACTGTTCATGACAAAGTAACATGAGCTGTAGATATAGTGATCATAGCAGAAGTTTCTTGAGACCCAAAAATTATTTTATTGGTTCTTCTATGTTAAAAAGGTTAAGAAAGGCTTTAGAACCTCGGAGTGCGAGAATGGCACTTACACTTTTTTTTTTCTTTTGTTAAAAGTCAAAGGTAATAATAGACATAAGTATGGGCAGATTCACTGAACATAATGTGACCCTTGATTATATACTCATCATTTCCTACATACCCAGCAGACCTTTACCCTGATGTGGTCTGTATGATGTGCAATGCTCTGGAGTAACGATGGTAGATATAAGTCATTGGGCATTGTCTGTGGAAACCACAAATGGCTGAAGCTCAGTGCCCCTTCGCAATCACTTTTTCAGTTTGCTGTAACCTGATTCATTATTTCATCCTGACACATGGATGATTTGTTTGTGATGACCTGTAAAGACAGGCAATCTAAAGCCTCCCAGCCACTTAAAGCCTATTTCCAAGATAAACCCCCGCCCCGGTATTCTTTATCCTTTGTCCCTGCAAATGAATCACTAGCTTATATTAAACAAAAAGAAAAACTAAACTAAAACCCATGCCTTGAAATTACTGTAACAACACAGTTCTTGATTCTTCTTTCTTCAGGGCTTTAGTGTGGGAG